GTCTTATCAAAGGTAGCCTGGAGCAAGGGCAGAGATACAAAACCTTGCCTGTCACATCACAAAGCAGGGACATCAGGAGACTTGGGGGGTTCAGATCAATCCGCACATCTAGGGCCTTGCAGTTGTTTCATTTGGTGTTAGGGACGTGCATGAGATGTTCCTGTCTCAAGCAGTAAGTGTACAAACCTTTCTATGCCTGGACTTGCCTGTGCTACAGAACCCCTGAATGTTTGACCAGCTGGATGAGTTGGGCCGACAGCTTCATGCAATTGAAAATCAGAGAGTCCTATGATAGATGAAAACTTAGATCTCTCTTTTTAAACAGAATCATAGTATGTTAAGGGGTTGGAATGGAGCTTAGAGATGATCCAGCCCCAACCCCTGCCCTGGGCAGGGACACCTCCCACCAGAGCAGGTTGCTCAAGGCTCAGCCAATCTGGGTGTGAACACTGCCAGGGTTGGGGCAGCCACAGCCTCCCTGGGCACCCTGGGACAGTGTCTCACCACCCTCACAGGGAAAACTTCTGCCTAACATCTAGCCTAAATTTCTCTCCTTCAATTTCTCCCCATTGCTCCTTGTCCTGTCCTTGCAGTTCCTAACACAGATCCCTCTGCAGCTTCCCTGGAGCCCCTTCAGATGCTGCTCTGAGGTCTCCACACAACCTTCTCTGATGGTTGATGACAGTGGGAGTTGAATGAATGGGACACTCTGTCAACCCAACCAAGGAAGGCCCAGTTACCACCAGAACCTTCTCAGGGCACTGCAGAAAGCCCCAGGGCACACGTGTAGGTGCACATCTACTCACAAACAGCCCAGGGAGCAGCAGCTGCAGGCACATCTGTTGCCCCGTGCTGCCAACATCGTTGCAGACACAGAGCTGGCCCAAGGTGAAGGTCACAGGGGTCCTGTCACCACAAACCACATTGCCTTGCAAGGCTCTCTCACCCCAGTGCTGCCAGGGAGCTGTTATTGCTGCCCTTCATTCAGAAAAGGGCACTCATGGCTCAACATACCCCTGCAAATTAAAGGTGGATTTACTGGTTGGTGCCTATCTATTTTTGCACAAAGAACTTCGGGAGAACAAGGAGGTTTTGTAAGCTGCAGCTGAGTAAGTTCCCTGGCATGCTGAAGGAACCTGCTTTATTAAACCAGTAATACACAGCTTAAAACATGGAATGAGCTGGCTCTTGCACAGGGACAGATGCTGCCATTCCTGCCCAGGTCTGCCCAGCACACATCCTCATACTCCCAGCAACATGTACGGCTGATTAGAGTTGCTGGAAGTCAGGGCGAGACACTCCACCAGCAGCACAGCTTCCTTGAAATCTTAGGAAAAAAAATCAGTTCCCATTTGAACCAAACCAAATCATTTACATTCTCTTCTAAGGGGCAAATAGTCAGATTTTTGCCTTTCCTTTCAGACCACCAAATGTAAGAGCAATCCAGGAAAACTGACCTGCTCGTCAGTTCACATCTGACAGCAAGGACTGTGGCCATTCCCCCCTGACCAGAACATCTACTTCACTGAGTACACTCACTGCCCCAGGGCTGGGGAGCTCCTGAGCAGCCCCAGCACGTGCTGTGCTGCAGACACAGCTCCTGGATGTTCCAGCAGCAGGGCCTGCAAAGCCTTGGCTGCAACCAGCAGCCTCAGTGCAAGGCTGCAGCCTGTTCCCTGTGTGCCTCCTCAGCAGTCTGGGCACCGATCGCTCCACCTGACTGAACACACTGGTTTACAGCAAGGTGAAGAGCCCAACTCAGTGCTCAGCCTCCAGCTCCATCCTGTAGTCCACCCAAGAGCATGTGAGATCCCTCACTCATCCCAGATCCTGGTTAGGGGCTGAGGGGAACACACCTTTGGAATGCAGGGTCAGTGCTGGGACCTCGCAAGTCTGAACAAGTGAGAAAAGGCTCAGAAAATGGAGGTATCTGTAAAGTCACTGGAGAAAGGAAGAAAAAGTGAAGTATCTCCAACATACATGGTCTTGACCCAAGCTGGGGAGGAGGAAGACTTACTTTCTTCCTCAGGCTGCTCGAGCAGCAAGGATGAAATGGTTCTGAGTGGCTGCAGAACACTGAGTTTCAGACTCACCCACCAATCCCTGGCAGCACAGGGGCCCAGCTGGCACCATCAGGCAGGGGAGTTTGGAGGTAAATCCAGCACTGTGGGAAATACCTGCCCTGGAATTGTCCTGGACAGTCCCTCAGGGCACAGCTCTGGCTGGGGACAGACACTCAGCTGCCCCACGGGACTGCAGCAAAGCTCTAGTGAACACATACGGACCAGGCAGCCCCCAGAGCAAGCAGAGAGAGATCCTGGGCAAAACAAGCTTCCCCTCCATGAACCCAGGCCTGGGCTGGACAACCAGCAATACTGGTCCCTCTGCTGCACTTGCCTCTGAGCACAATTGAGCTCTCAGCTGCAGGGCACATGGAGCAGACACATTCCTGTGTCACAGGCCTTTTGATCCAGGCCAGTTCTTCAGATCAAAACTGGATTTGGACTGAGCCCTTCTGGCTATCCCAGTTTTCACACTGCAGTACACACGTGACAGACCATGGAAAAATAAACCCCATTTGGATTTTGCCCTTATGACTGTGAACTGAGGCCCAGCCTGGCTTATGCATCCCCTCAGGAGACACCAGTTTGCTTTCCTGAGAGGTTTCTTTGTTAGACATAGACTAAAGATAATGGGGATTTGGACTGAGCCCTTCTGGCTATCCCAGTTTTCACACTGCAGTACACACGTGACAGACCATGGAAAAATAAACCCCATTTGGATTTTGCCCTTATGACTGTGAACTGAGGCCCAGCCTGGCTTATGCATCCCCTCAGGAGACACCAGTTTGCTTTCCTGAGAGGTTTCTTTGTTAGACATAGACTAAAGATAATGGAATGGAAAATGTGTTTGGAACACATTTCTGGGCACGTAAGTGAAGGTGACCAGGAACAGCCCCTGTGGATTTACTCAGAAGTAAATCACACCTGCCCATCCTGATTGCCTGTTGTGAATAAATGACCAGACTGCAGCTGTGGGGACAGCAGAGGGCACAGACCAACCTCAGGTCCCCAAACCACCTGCCACAACACTCGTGTCCAAGCGAGGAGAGCACGTCCTGGATGTGTGAGCACCCAGATGGGCGCAGACCCTGGCTGGGCAGTGAGACCCAGGGGACAGTTCTGGGTGGGTACATACATGGGGCAGCCCCGGGAGGTTTCCTGTTTAACACCTTTATCACTAACTTGGCAGAGGCAACACCACAGTGGCTGATCTTGCTTTGCAGAGGTCAACATGGGGGGGCACAGGTAATATCCTCTGGGTCAGAGGGGCCACCCAGAGGGGCCCAGGAAGGCTGAAGAGATGTGCTGGCAAGAGCCTTATGAACCCCTGAACACACAGGGGACAGAGCTGTGCCCCTGCTGTCACCAAGACAGGGCACTGACAGCCTAACAGTTGCCTAAACAACACTTTTGTTGCTTTTTAAACAACAAAACAAACAAAACCTCCAAATGACAACAACACAACCCTACAAACAAACAAACAAAAAAAACACAACAAAAACCTCTCACTTCCAAAGAAAGTTTCCCTCCTGGGAAAGGCCAAGGGAAAAGTGATGGGCAGAGTCAATCTGAAGAAACAGGACATTTCTCACTCCCACTGCCAGGCACACATTCCAGTGCCAGTCCCTCCATCCTAAATCTTCCTGGGCCCAGGAAGTTTTGGAAAAGACTTACCTCCAGGACTGTGGGGAAAAATACAAGGCAAGGAAGGATAGGCTCTTTAGAAACAATGCTGCCACTTGCAACCATTGCATGAAAATCAAATCACTACTGCCAGGATGCCACTTGTCACACACACTAACACTCCTGACAACACCTTGGATTGGCACAGCCTCTAACTGATAGAAGACTCACAGTGTGAATTTCCTTTGGAAACACTCCTATTGCCTACTGTCAACAAGCCAGGACGCACAAGGAGAGAAAAAAACAAACAACTTTCAGCTGTTGAGGTTAATTCTACTGAGACACTTTGTAAAACTCTCACTGTAAACTGACACAGAAAAATTCTTGCTGATCCTTTAAAAGAGGGGGAAAAAAAACCCACCTTCTTTAAACTACCTAGTATTTGAGAAGCAAAGGAAAAATCGTATCTTGGAATTTCAGAAACCTTCCTTCCTTGACACATGTGGTTAGCCTGATACAATCTGGGCCTCGCAGCAAGAACCCTGCTGGTTTCTCTCCTCTGGGACATTTCCTGGGGTTCAGCTGTCTCAGAAATCCACATTCAGCCCCTGGTGTGCACAACTAGGGATAAACACTGCGTTTTACAGGCCAAGAAAGCTGAGCAACATAGGAAGCTTGACCAGTCTACAAAGTTCTGATGATATTCTAGTCAAACCTAAGGAAAGAAAGATATGTATTGGTTATACAAAGCACTGTTTATTTCCAATGCTGCACTGCACAAATCATATCTGACTGCCAGGCCTGTGCATGGACACAGCCCCTGCACCCTCCCCACTCCAGTGCCCAGCACAGCACACTCAGAGCCACTGTGCAGACAACCATCTACACCAGAAGAGAAACCTGTTTGCAACCCATTCCTCTTTTCCTTGTAAGTGAACAGTGTCCACCTGGAAAAATCACCACAAAGAGCACATTTCCTTCCTGCATTCAGATGAGGAGAGCAGGCACACCACAGGGCTGGTCCCACATGTGGAAGCTAACAGTGCTTTCAGTGCTTTTCACCTCCTTAACCTGGTAAAGAAACACTGTTAAGGCTCTTTTGCATTTCATCGTGCAGCTGCCTCTCCCAGAAGGCAAAACAGTGCAGAAAAACCAGAGGGCAGAGCTCCTTTGAGACTGCCATGGCCCCATGGCTGTTCATCCAGTAATCCTCCTGCAGTGACTGTCCTTTGCTGGTGTCTGACCAAGGGACAGCAGTCAGTGGTACCAGAGATACACATGTTCTTCCCAGTGAAAAGTGTTTTCCATGTTTGCTCCCAAATTTTATTCTGCAGCCTAGATCGGGCTGCAAATCACATCCATGGGGAAGGCTCTGAAGAGATTTTTGGTGATGGTAATTTGCAGAAACATGATTGCCTTTTTTATCTGGAAGAAAGGAGGGAAGTTGTGACAGGATGTTACACTCATGTCCTTCTGCTCTAACTCCAATGTCCAATCACAGCCAAACCCACAGGTGATGCTCACAGCAATTCTCAAAGACCTTGTGTTTTAGGGTTTGTATTTTCTCATATGTGAAGCAATAGAAGCTGAAATCTCAGTGCTCCTCTTATTCTGGCCATAGTAGTCCACAAAGTCACCATCAGGTCCAAGGAGATACATTATGATGGTGTGATCCACCTGCAAGAGAACATATCATGGCTTGGTAAAAGAGATCAGAGAATCACCAACACCAGGTCAGAAGGGACCTCATGGAGCATCTGGTCCAGCCTTTTTTGGCAAAAGCACTGTCCAGGCAAGTTGGCCCAGCACTCTGTCCAGCCAAATTTTAACTGTGTCCAATGCTGAGTAATCTGTCACTTCCCTGGGGAGATTATTCCAATGGCTGAGTGTTCTCACTGTGAAAAATTTTCCTTTTGTGTCCAGGCGTAACTTGACCCTCTAACCCCTTGTCTTTTTCCTGTAACTCCTTGTAAAAAGAGTCTTCATCTTCTTTGAGGCCACTCTTTAAATACTGAACATCCTGCACATCTCTGTCAGCAGCCACAGTGTCTGCTGCAGCCTTTGGCAGCTCCCAACTGCTCCCCAAGAAGATAAAGCTCTGGAAAACCTCAGCATCACTGCTGCTCTTCTCTCAGGCACGTGGTGGGATTGTTGAGGTGTCCTGTCCAGGGCCTGGAGTCAGACTGGATGATCCTTGTGGGTCCCTTCCAGCTCAGGATATTACGTGATCACCTCAGTGAGCTCTGCTAGTTTTACCCAAGACATAGCAAAAACTCATTGCATTCTCCAAAGGTGTTTAGAAATACTTTCAGCGAACTTCCCTAAGCTGCTGGCCCCTTACTGCAATCCTGGGGACTAATGGTCTTCCCTCTTAGTTTTCCCAGTTTCCCTCTTACTTTTCCCAGTGCTCCATGACCCCCCAGCAAGGCACAGAAACTCCTGCTGCCAAGAGGATGTAAAAGCAGTATAAGCAGAGGTTTTAGTGGCACAAGCTGGGGGACCGGGAGCCTCCCAGGGATGCTGGAAGGAGCCTGGAGTGGCCCTGGGATGCAGGGAATGCAGGCTGGGAGTGCCCTCTGCCGTCCCAACATGTGCGTTCCCGGTATTCCAATGGGATTGGCAAACTCCACAGCAAACGGGTTCAAATGCCACTGCAAGTCCTAACCCTGACAACACCTTCAGCAGCAAACAGAGAGCACTGAGGCCATGAACCTGCGATTCTGAGGCTGCAGAAAGAGAACTAAGATCCCTCAGCTGTGTCTGAAAAGGGAAATCCCAGGAACATCTCCAGTACCACAAGCCACAAGGATGTATTAACCTTAATGGCCTTTCTGGCATTGAAATAGCATGCCTCAAAATTTCCTTGAAGTGGGTTTAATATTTTACTCTAGTCTTGAATTTTCAATACAAGATCCCGAAATCAAGCTGGAGGAGAGCATTTTTCCTAAGCAAGCTGAGGCACAAGTGAGATCCTTCAACTGGAAACCAGCACAAAATGTTGAAAAATCAGGATGCCTGCTCAGAACATCTGAACTCCCTGGGCGATGGAAATCAGATACAGTCAGGATGGAGTGCAGTTTGGGAGCAAACCCCAATTTTTCAGGCTGTGCCTGCCTGACACCTGCACTGTCCCCACTGCATGCTCCAAAGATGATGATTTGAGTTTCAATCCAATCTTGTAAACTACAGAATAAACCAAGTAAATTGGTTTATTCATTTCCCCCTTCACACTCTTACTCTCTGTATTTTATTCCCACATGAGTGTTAATTGACATGCTCTCTCTTCCAGGCCATTTGACACGGAAGATCCTCACAGGACCTTCTATGGGGAAGACCCAACTCCTTGGTGTCAGTTTGGCAGGGAATGAGTTGCTATTCAGCTTTACTTCTCACTTCTCCCTCTTCCTATTGCCTTAACATCCCAGTTCCATTTTCACTGTGGAGCACATAGGAAAACAGCCAAATACATTACATGACAGAAAGAAGTTTGATTTGCTGCCCAGCTTGTGAGCTCATGCACTGCTGTCTGCAGGTCTGGGATTGCACACGTTTGGAACACATTTCAGTGAGGTTCTGAGCACCTTGGCTCTGACTGAGACCTCTCAGACAGCTTACACACCAGTGCAGCAAAGGCTCTGTCACGTGGGACCTCAGCACAGCTCCAACAGCTGATTTTGAGATCTATATGCTGCTCCAACCCACAGTGCTTCAGCAGGCAAAAGTTCCACTTGTACTCACGATGTAATCGTTGTCCTCATCCTTGGGGCCTTCGCTGTAGTACACACGGTAAGCTTTAGCCACCTGGTCAATCTGTGCCCTGGTACCAGTCAGCCCAACCAGCTTCGGAGAGAATTCTAGATAGAAAGACAACATTTACACATTTGAGTGAAGACAATCCCTCCGAGAGGATCCTTTCCAGGGCTCTGCATGAGACACACAGAGGAATAAAGCAGTACTACCTTTAACATATCTGGCAATGGCTTCTTGGCTATCCCGCTCGGGATCGATGGTGATGAACAGTGGAGTCAGGTTAGGCAAAGATGGAATTCGATCTGTGATATTAACATCATTCATTTTAGAAATCATTTCTCATCTCCCTTCAAACAAGCTCACAGACAAGCTATGGCAACATCAATCCAAGCCCGTCCAAAGAGACTAAAAAATACCATTTTGTGCAGCTGAATTTAAGCATGTTCATGGGATCCCGATGCCTGACACAAGGAAAGCATACCAGGATGGTGGAGCAGGAGGAAATCTGGACACACAGTAGGGCTCTT